TTTAAATGTTTTCCCATGTATCAGTTGTGTCAGCCTTTAAGACAGTCATCAATCTGTTATTATCATTTTGGAACATAACTGGGGGTGAAGCATTTGGAAATTTTTTAAGGTAATGAATTCCCTGTATTACCTGATTTCCTTAAAAGAGATTTTTAAACATAATTTTACTATTTCTTGATACCCCAGCATCATTATTGTATCTATTTATTATTATGCCCCCCTTTTTTTTTTTTCTTTTTTTTGAGACAGAGTCTCACTCTGTCACCCAAGCTGGAGTGCAGTGGTGCAATCTCAGTTCACTGCAACCTCTGCCTCCTGGGTTCAAGCAATCTTCCTGCCTCAGCCTCCCAAGTAGCTGGGATTACAGGTGCCCACCACTGTGCCCAGCTAATTTTTGTATCTTTAGTAGAGATGGGGTTTCACCATGTTGGCCAGCCTGGTCTCGAACTACTGACCTCAGGTGATCTGCCACCTCATTCTCCCAAAGTGCTGGGATTACAGGTGTAAGCCACCATACCCGGCCCTGTTTTTTACCTTTCTCTTTGACACAACTATAGTTAATGAATACTATTTCCTTTATTTACCATATTCTAATCGGAATAGTATATTTTGCCAAGTAGAATAATTGGTGGGTTTAAAATTTTTTTATTCTGAGTAATTGAAAATTTGTAATGAATATTTATTGAATGAATGAAGAGAGATAATTATAGGCATTTCTACCATCTAGTGGCAAAAGGTAGCAATTGTAAAATAATTAATTTTAAATTAAAGATCTGCCCTTAATGAAATTTATCCCTTTGACTTTTTTCTTACTGTTTCACTGAGCATATGGTTTGAGTTATGGTCAAAGTTTACATTGTTTTAATGTATGGATGTCAATTTCTCCCACTATCATTTGTTGAAAAAACTGTTTCTCTGTGGGATTATTATTCTGTTCCATTGTGTTTTTCTCATTGCTAGTACTTCACTTTCATGATCTTGATCATCATAGCTTTTTATAGTAAGTCTTAAGATAGTGTTCTTCAAATTTGTTCTTTTATTTTTGTAAAGTGATTTGTGCTTTATTTCTTCTACAAAATTATAACATTGTGTGTAACAATTTTGATTTCTGAATTGAGGCAAAAATTAAAGAATCTTTGTTAAGTGCAAATTGCTTATATATCTTTATAACCTATCTGATTATAAAAGGGTACATTTATTAGAGTAACTGATATTCATTTTTATGCATTTGCCCCCATGCCACTGTTTTTCCCTTATTCATCCTATTCTACCATCATGAATACTTAAATGAGTTTTTTGAGATTGGTTGCTTCTCAGACTTATCTGGTTCCCTTGATCCTGTAGTAATGTTGATGTCAAATAATTATCTTGAAGAATTTCCAGCAGGAAATAAAGTTTCTGCCAGTTTGGTTTTAAGTTTTGGAGGGTAACTGTGGGAGAAGCTTGCAGAAGAAATTAAGCTTTTAATTTAATCTCACAAAGTTTGGCGGATGCTCTGTTATTTTCTATAACATTCTGGTGTGGTACCGTATGTTTTTCTTCCTGTAAGAGTGTTGCAGGAATCAGGAGACTGGAGAGACCAGTAGGTAGAACAGGAGGATTTTATTGAGTGTACTCAGACCCAGCGGATTAACAGCCAAAGACTGGGCCTAGAACAAAGACCAGACTTGGCTTTTATACACAATTCTAAAAGAGGGTGGGCTACTTTGAAACAAGCTTACAGTGGCGTGAAGCATAGTGGCACGAAAGCTCAGGTACAAAAGCAGAACAAAGGCAGTTAATCATACTTTGACAGGTTCATAACTCAGACTTACATATGATTCTTGCTATGCAGCTTAGATGGCTGTTACCTAGGGTTGCTCTAGTGCCTTGCACGGACTTATCTCATAACCTTCACTATGGTGTCTGGATGGCTACAATCCAGGCCCGCTCAGGCATGTCTCATGACCTTCGCTGAGCTGCTTAGATAAAACAATACTTAAAGTTACTAGTTATAGAAAACAGGAATCAATAAACTCATAAGTTTACTCATACCATAGGAGAAAGGAAAATAAAGAAAATTTGTTTTTTTCTTCTCCCCATGTTGAGGGAGTGCTGGGAGAGTCTTCAGAGCACATTCCTTTGAGCCCTAGTTTCTTAGATAATATTATCAAGACTTTCCTGGGTCTGGGCTGTGCCTATTTCTGCCTCTGGGATAAGTCAGCCTAATACAGGAAAGCTTGTTTTTCAAACTTGCTTTTCTCTTTTTAATTTTATTTTTCTTTTTTTCTTTAATTTCCCACCTCAAGAGAGGTATGTAGTTGATAAAACATGGTTATTTGGCTGCTAATTTTGCAAAGAATGGGTTAAGTAGCAAACTAGTATTTTTGTCTTTTTCTACTTAGGTGTGTGAATACCGTAGCAGTTAAGATTACTAAGAAAACAGTATCACATGTACACTTTTCTAGCTTTTGGTT